GGGGGGGATGAATGAGGGGGATGATCGTGAAGATGAGAGATCACTGAACGAAGCGGACGTCACCGCGAAACGCTTCTCTCCGGGATCTTAGTCTCTAAGGGAGAATAACAGGTGTTCACTTTCACGTTGGAGGAACGTTCGAGAAACTCGAACGGTTTTCTGCGCGTTGATTCGCTCGCAACACTCGTCTCTCGCATCGATCAGTTTTTCGTCAGGATGTGCCCTTTTATTTATCGTTTGCAATACGATCGTAATAAATCGTTACACGTGAAAGGTAAAAGGTAAAGAACAAGAGTACAAGTCGCTAAAAATTATACAATCCCAAGACGCAAAACGAGAGGGTCTACGTATACGAAATAATAATAATCATGTCTCGGCGCGGAGCAGGCCGGGTCTGCCAAGCGATTCTTCGTTTTTTTCCGAAAAAGAAAATCCCACTCGCGGACATGCTCGTCGTCTATTCAGGGTTGGGCCTCCCGAAACCAGAACCCGACGATAGGAACCCAACGTTAGGATTCAACGCTAGAATTCAACGCTAGAAACCCAACGCTACGAAACTAACGTCGAAACGTAACGCTGGAATCCAACGCTAATTATCCAACATGAAAATCTAACGCCAGGAACCTAACGTCGAAACCTAACGCTAAAATTTAACGCCAGGAACTTAACGCTAGAACGTGACACCAGGACCCGACGTTAAAATCTAACGCTGGAAGCTTAACGCCAGTGCCAAACGCGAAGTTCCACGTTCCAAGAGGCCCAGCCCGTATATATAAATACTCTCCCACCGCCAGATCAACAACAAACAATCGCGCTCGCATTCGGTTAAACAACAACGCTTCCCCTCGCCGAATAAAGAAACTTATTGCACATTACGAGAATTCATCGATCAAAGGGGATCAAGAAGCTCTTCGTCGATACAGAAGAAAATATAACATCGACAGGGGGTGTGTGTTGGAAGGGTTGACGCGTGTGTCAGGTGTGTGTACGTGTGTGTGTGAAAGTGTACGTGTGAATGGAGAGGGGGGATGATCTCATCCGATCAAATCGTGTAGAGAATATACATAATATGTATTTATATAATCTATACCCTTCGATCTCTCTATGCTAATACTCGAGGTCTGGCTTCACCCTTTTTTTGATTAGAAAAAATCGCTAATGCCTCTAAAAATCTTGCACCAGCCCGGGTCGTCGGGTCTCTAAACGCGACAGCCCTGAAATTCTATCTCGGATCGTTCGGCAGACGATATTTTAAAATTGATAAACCTTACGATTAAACCACCGAGATCGAAAATCCCATCGGTGGACTCCGCGAGAATCTTTCTTTTCTTTTTCCTCATTTTTCTCTTTCTCTCTCTCTCTCTTTTTTGTTAAATTCTATTTCACGAGCATCGATCACGTTCGAAGGATCCACACGATCGTCGGACATGCTCGGTTCCTCGATCACGATCGAAATACATTTCAGGGGATGATGACGACGACGACGACGACGACGTAGACGACGTAGACGATCGTTCTCGTCCCGACGCGGTGCGCTCTGTCTAAATGGTTCAGGGGTTTCCGATATACTCGTCGTTTTCTTCTATACCAATGATAAATATATATATAATATATATATTATATATTTGTATGTATACGAATACGTTTATGCGTACTGTGCGTTCGCGTTGGCAATGCTGAAGGAATCTGAACACCGCCCTCCTCGCGAGGACCTTTAAGGACTAAACCGCGAGACTCCGCCGTGTATCGTCCATCCACTGAACGTCCATATAAAAATTATAAAAACACTATTCTCGTCTCGTTTCGCATGGCCGCTCGCGGAATCGAGAGGCCGGACTATCTCCTAAGGAAGGAACGAAGATATTCTTTTTTTTCTTCTATCTCTCTCTCTCTTTCTCTTTCTCGCTTGTTTATACGAACTGTTGACTTTTTCTCTGTTTCTCGATTCACTGGCTGGATCATACGACGAGGAGCTCGGGAACTGACTTCTGGGATCACCATTCGATCCGTTCGTTGCGTCGGAAGCTTTCTCGTGAATATTCATCTCGACGATCGAGGTGATTCAATTGATTCTTCGATATACTCTAGCAATTCCTCTTGGTCCGACGAGTCCCCGTTGCCAGACGAAACGCGCTCGGGAGTCCCTGGAAACGAGTACCCCGTGCAACGAGCGATCGAAACGAGGCCTCCGATCCTGGCTCGAGATCCGTTCATCTCCTTTCGATCCTTCTTGCTCCCTGACCTCTTCTAGTCGACGGTCCTCCGTGTCCTACATCTAGCAAGCGGTAAAAAAGACTCGAAACTCTGTAAAGCGGTCGAAAATGATCGTACACCTTGAGCACAGTGACTCGAACGTTCGTCGATCGATGATCGTGTTCAAGAACTGGAGACTCGCTTGTACGATACACTGTTTGGAACCGTGCACGTTGATTCTTAGATTTCGCAGGCATTCAACCGACGAATGTTTGCGTCACTGGCTCGAAAAAACTGGACAACGCTTCTCCTCGCTGGACGCTCGCGAATTTTCAGACTTCACCGTTCCGGGAACGGGCGTCTGGCGAACGTCGATTGAATCTGAGTGTTTTGGCACCGTTTGCGGCTAATCGATCATAGCATTCGTCGCAGTGTAACGAGATAATCGTGTCCGAAGGAATCGACGGTGATTTTCCCACGATTTGGCACGCGGTTGCAGGGTAAGCCGTCGCAGGAAGCTTCGTTCGCCGCGCTTTCTTACAGAAAGCTCTCGCGAGAAGTGTTTACAAATGGTCTCGTGCAAAAAGACTCGAAAAATCGCACTTCGCAGCCGAGTTTCGCGCGGGTACGTCGAAGGATCCGCGGATCGCGCTGAGAAGTTTAGGCACCGCGCTCGGTTAGACCGTGAGAACCGGGGATCGGAGGTAGCTATAGACCCGAGCCACCAGTCCAAGTTAGCTTTGGATCTTTGTTAATTATAGACCCTGGTTAACCTTAAATTGAAGTTAAATACAGATCCAAATTAGTTTGTAAATTCAAATCTATCGCGGGTTTAAATTGATTGTAGACCATAAGTAGCTATAAAGCTAAGTGAACTGTAGGTCCAATTTAGCTACTGGTCAAAATTCAATGCAAGTCAAACTTAGCCACAAGTTTAATTCACTTACTGATTCAAATTATAGACTCAAGTTAGATGCTGTATTAGTCACAGATCCAATTTAAACGATCGAAGTTAGCTAGTTGAAAGGAATCCTAAGTTAATCGTAGAACCAAGTTACAATCTCAGGTCAGCTAGAGATCCAAACTAATTGTGGAATCAGGCTTTCTACAAATCGAAATCAGTTACGCAACTATCTAACTGTAGACCCAAGTCTGGCTGCAGACCAAAGACCTCCGCAGGCTGAAGTACATCAGCGAAATCATCAATTCCATCGTGTCGTCCTAGATCTACGAAGTTTCGTGTGTGTGCGCGGATCGCTCGACGTATCCCGACACGCCAACAATATACACGATTTACGCTAGATCCGCTAAGAGAACGCTTGTCAGAAAAGACCTCTAAAAAACGAAAACCCAGAAAAGACCAGTAAAAACCGCGCGATGATCCGGGCGCAACGTGGTTCACCGACGATAACGCAAAGATTCTTGGCTTCCAGTTTCTTTTCCGTGTCATCCTCGGTCGTGTGCGCGCGCGTCGTTCCTCTCCCGAACTTCTTCCTCTTCTTGGTCATCATCCCGCTTCGGATCATCTCTCTCGCGTGTCCGCAACTCTCCTCCTCGGATCCTCGACGTCCCCCGTGGCTCTTTTACTGTTCGCGGTCAACAGAGAATCGATCATCACGTGGATCAGCACGGCGAAGCTGGCTAACCAACACTGTGCAGGCTCTCAACGTCAATCTCAAGACCAAAATGCGTAGGCAAGTTCGTCAACGCGCGGATTAAAAGGAAAACTAGTCATGCTTTGTGTGCTGCGAGCGCCAGGGCCGTGTTAAACGTTTTATTTCGAATCGAATGAAAATATGTAGTAGGAACTTTCGAAAGTTGAACACGCTTCAGAAGTGGAACCTTTCGAAAATTAAACCTCTCGAAAGTTAAACCATTTGAAAATTAAACCATTCGAAAGTTAAACCTTCCGAAAGTCGAACCTTCCGAAACTTAAACGTTACGTTTAAAGTTTAAAATTTTCTTTGCTCCAGTTTTTCCAGGCCCTGGACGCTACGTCTGAAGTGATTAATATATAAAACGGTCCTGGAGTGATACGAGCGGTTGCGGTTCATCGTTTCCATTGCCATTCGCTGGCCAGAGTCCTTTATCTTCAGCGACGTTTCCTCTTTTTCGAAGGAAATCGGCGTGTCACCGATCGCTCGCTTCACTTCGTCAACGTATAATTGGACACACGTGTGTAAACAAAACTGAAATTCGCCGACGTGCTGCGTTCTCAAACGATCAACGGAACTCATAATAATCGGCGTGCAGTCTGTTACAACAATCGATCCATATTATTCGAGCAGTAAGTGAGACAACATCGAACTTTACGAAACTGGATACAAACAAGTGCAAATCCGACGGAGGCTGTCTCCGCGAACATCGCCGCGCGATAATAAATAATGGTAAATCGTGCTTTTAGAGACACACTGTACACGCAAACGCAATACACACTGTATACAGTCACAAATAAAGGAATAACTGTAAAAATTCAGAAGCTGGGTTGGGTAACAACGATTTTACGACACACCATGCGGAATACGAGCCACTCTTCATACCAAAAACACACGACAAACGTTTAGGAATGGTCGAATGGCGATGATGGTGGTTCGTGGTTGCAAGGGTGACGGGAAAGTGTATGGAAAATCCTGTCAATAAGTCTTCTATTCATTTTTTGACAAATTTAAAAAGCTCCATATTAAATTTCAATTACTAATTCCCTCGTTTAACTCGCCAACTTTCTGGTATCAATCGACTGTCTCTGTATACTCATAATACCAAATACTATTAAAATATTGAAATAAAGTACCACAATATTGTAGTAACGAAATGTTGAAATAAAGTCTCAAAATATTCACTGAAAAGTAGTATTAAAATATTGAAACGTTCAATTGCCAATGTATTCAAATAACGAAACGCTCCAACGTTGAAACTTTGAAATAAACAAGCAAAATATTCAAACATCATAAGATTGAAATGTCGAAGTACCAAATGCTGAAATAAAGTATGCGAATACTGAAGCATTCAAGCATTAAAACACGGACACGTTGGAACATAAAAATTCAGAAAGTACCAAAAGAAGACTTCTTGTCTCGAAGACGGATGAAGATGATCGAACAGGAGATGAACGAAAGGACGAATGATCTCTATGAGACGGTACTCACCACGAATCGATTGACTTTGACCTTCGTCGTGCGAGAGGGTTCAGTCTGTTGCGAGCCGAGTGACTCGAAGCGGGCTCTTAAACTGCTCGCGGATTCTATGCTCGCCTGGTCGCCGCCGGTGCTCTGGGCGATCTCCATTTCCGCGATGTGCTGGTTGCTCGACGTGACCGTCTTCGCGTCCGTCTCGTCCCAGTGCTCGAACTTCGCGCACAGTGTCTTCGCGCGCGCCGCGTTCTGCGCCTGTTTCAGGAACTCGTCCTCCACCTGCGAGCACATAAACCGTTCAACTCTGCGCAAATACGAGCACGTCCCTCGAACGTGTCGATACCCCGGAGGACCTTGTTAACACTCCCGCACGAACCACGGTCGTTTCTTCTTTCTAATGAAAGCGGAATTCATTAACGCGCTTCGGGGAACACCGGCGCAGGTTTCTCGTGCCTCGAGCTCGCGAGATTTCTCGTCTTACTTCTTATCCACGGAAATCAACTAGCTGTTTATTAGACTGCGGTTTTTATGCAAATTATTGGGTAATTGATGAACAAACGATCAGGGAGGGTCTTGTTATTCAAACGAGTGTTTTCGGAATTTTTTAATGGTCTAACGTGGGGGATTGGAATTTATTGTGATCAGAAGTTTGACGAAGTGTGAAAAAGTTTGAGAAGATTCGATGAGGTTTTCATTCCAGGAATCTGACGGAATCGGTTGGTTATGTAAACGTAAACTCGATTGATATCTGTTTAAATTAATTCATAGAAGTTTCGAGTTGCGTGAGCATTCGCAGTTCGTTGGATACAATGCCAGACGTAGGAGAAAATATGCTAAGCTTACTGCAAAAACGTATCACTGCTACTGAATTATCAGTTGAACGTTTGAACAAGAAGATTATTGGTTTGAAAAGAAAGCCGAGATGAATAATACGCGGCCACTTAAGCGGCAACTCCAGATCGGTGCGCCGCTTGAAAGAAAGTTCGTATCTTACATGCATCTTCATCCCGGCTGCATTAATTTACTGGATAACCGGTAATCAGGTGCAATAATTAAATCAGCTCGTTCGACGGGCAATCTCTTCATCGTAATCGCCAGGAAAATGAATTTTAAAATAATCGTTACTTGGAACACGTTCCATAATGAAAGTTATACCGTGAATCACTTTGCGCAAACATCAAAGAGCCAACGCAAGAGAATATCCATTCATCCTTCAAAGTACAAGATGCAACATCGAAATTCATCAAACTTGTAAGATCCTGTTCACGTTCGCGCAAACGCGTTTGTCAAACCAACAGTGATCCAGGAAAGATGGTCTTCACGGTGCAGAGGCAACGTTAGGAAACGTGAGACCAAGGAAGCTCGCATGGGATCGTACCAGCGTTGAACAACGCGTCTATCGAACCACCCGCAGTCACCGCCAACGGTCTCATGCATATTCAAACACGGGGAATCTCGAGGCACGATCAGCTCCCCGCGTTAATAAACGTAACCATTTTTCGTGCGCCGAGAACAATGAAGGCTACACCATCGTCCGATAGACGCAAACGAACCTTATCCGAAGCCCGCACGTAGTTGGGGTCTCTTTCCTCCGCGCTGTCCTCGCCTTCCGACTCCTCGCCCTCTTCCTCCTCCTCCTCCTCGGAGTCCGACGCGGTCGGCTTCGCGTATTTGTCCTCTGGCGGAGGTGTGAACCGCTTCAGCGGCTTCGGCCCGTTCGGCACCTCTTTCTTGGTCGCGTTCTCCTCCATTTGCCTGAAGATCGACAGCATCTTCCTCGCGGTGTCCGTGCGCACCACCTCGTCCACCCTGTCTTCGGCTCGCACCACGTCTGGATCACGGTAGATCTCGCGCTCGGGAGAGTCCATCTGTTGGGAACATTCTTACATCAATATCGGGTTTGCTGAATATTTTAAAGGTTCAACATTTTAAATTGTACACAAACGACGCATCAGGAGAATTATCTTGATGTTGCCATGTTAAAGGAATTTCGGAAACTTTGGAATCGTAAATTGTTCTTATTTTGCTGCAACGATAGCAGTTGCAAGAAATGTATGCTAAACTTCAAGGAAACAAAACAACGTTACCGAATACAAAGCGCAAAGCAGAATTAGACATTAATACCTCGTGAAGCGCATTACACGTAAATTCCCCGTTTAACCTACGCTTCGAGCGAGAAGAGAGCTCGAAGTCGTTGAAAAATCCAACGCTGCAAGTAACTTAATTAAAACGACACTTCGGAGCCGACCGCAATCCCCGCAAACCGCGCAAAGGGAGCGACACTCCACGCTGAAACCTCGCTGGCCAGCGGTCGCCATTGTCTTCCCGCTCGGCGTTAAAATCGCCCGAGTTCCCAGAGAGCCCGGAGCTCGCGCTCGCTCGCTCGCAGTTTCATTTAAACGGCCGGCTGAAATACTAATTTTCCGTTACCGCGCCGTTTAACCTTCCCTGCGCAACGGACGGCCGACAATCGCTTTTTCACTCGGGCAAATTACGAGGAGCCGCGCGGGACGAGCGAATAAAAGGCGAAGGCGGCCCGGGACGGAAGGCAGAATTCCGTCGGCCGTTTGAAAACCGTGGTAACCGACGGTCTGGCGGGCAGGAAATCAGGGATAAAGGTGTTCCTTTCCAGGAATCCCGTGAGTCAGCGCGCGGGCGAACGCGAGTCTGCTACCTGGGGGCCACAGGTATGCGGCGCCCCGATGACAACGCAGAAAACTGCGCGGCGCGACGCGAGGCGACGCCGTTTTACGATATTACCTGAGACAGCTTGGCCCGCGGACACAAGAACGCCGTGTTACCGTCCAGCATCGCGGCGAGCTGCGACGACTCTGAGCGCAAGCGGTTTCACTTCACTCGAAAAATTGATGGAGAAACACACAACCGGAGAAAGCTAATTAGTTCGGGCTGGCACGGGTGAATCTTTATTCAATGACGTTTCCCTGGATGTTCTGGCGGTTCGGCGAAGCAATTAATGCTCCGAAATAGGAGAAGAGCTGGGGATTTTACGGGGAGAGATTTGGCGTTTGAAATTTGGATATATCGCGATTGATTTAATTTTCGTTTGGAAAGCGGTTAATGACCCGAAATGAGGAACAGGAAAGTTCGACGAGATCCTGTGGGTAGTTTTGTATTTGAAACTTTGGGGTATTGAAATCTAATCGGTGTTTCATTTGGAAAGCGATTAACGCTACGATATGAAACAGGAGGATTTGATGAGATTGTGGAAATAATCGAATCGGTATCTGGGATTTGGAGACATTGGAATTTGTAATCTATTTTTCGTTCGGAAAGTGGTGAAGTCATTGAGAAAAGCGATTGGAAATATCGAGAGCTTCGTCTTTTAAATGAAAAGCAATTAACGCTGTGAAATGGAAAATAGGAGAGCTTAATAAGATTCTGCGAGTAGAAGTAATCGAATTGGTATTTGAAACTTGGAAATACTGAAATCTGTAATTCATGTTTCATTTGGAAAGAGAACTGATTTCATTTATTTAAGTAACTTTCTTGGATGTTTCTTTGATGAGGAGATAAACGATGAAAGAGATTCGTTAAATCGCTGACGAGGTTTTTCAAGACTCGAACCGCAGCTCCAAGACGAATCGATTTTCACACGTTTTTATAGATCTGGCGCGATGGAAGCGGAGGCTACGCGCGTAGAGACAGAAGAAAGTTTTTCTTTTTCCCCCGGAGACGGGGATGGGGCTTTCGTCGAAAGGAAATCAAGTTGCGCATATGCATCCGCGAGTCAACTGTATCGACATTGTTTTGTACCGTTACGAACCGGGGCGAGGGGATTCGAGAAAGCTGGCAATTTTCTGCGTCGATTACACCGTGTCCCGATATTTCGAGGAATTGATGGCCGAGCTACGGTGCCGCGATTATTCATGACTCGATGCTCGTCGAAGTTCTGCTTTCGAAGCGTTCGTTTACCTCTAGCAAAATAATACACCAAACTACAAACACACTTTACATTACAAACATTCCAATCCCCAATAATTCAAAAATTCAATTTCCCAATTACAAAAATTCACTAGAAGAACAGAAAAATACAAGTTCCGAATCTACAAAAAAAATCTCTCCAAATATTCCACGCCCGTACTCAAACTCGAAAAAATCAACGAAACAAAGCATACCTTGAAGCTCCCAAAAATCTCTGAATATTTCCTATAAACTTCGAAAGCTGACGGTACCTTTCACGGAGCACCCTCTATGGTAACTATACAACAACTTTCACAAAGAACTGTCGGAGCACGGTCGAAAAAATCGATGGAATCGGCTCGGAAACGAGGGGATGCGCTTGGATCCTCGCGAATATCGGCGTGTTCTACTCACGTCTGCGTTTTCGGGTCTCGTCTGGTCGCTCGGCGTGGCCGTGGCGTCGAAGAAAAAGAAACGGAACTGGCCGGCACTGTTAGAGAGGATCGGAATCGTGGGTTCGAGGCGTGCACACGCGGCCCGTCACGAGGGAAGAAGCCTTTTGTCTCGGAGGGCCGGCGAGGTCCGAACTGGCGAGTCGGCCAGCGTGTTGCTATGCCGTTCACACGACGAGGAGGACGCGCAGCTCTTACTGTTCCCCCTTTCGTGAGTTACTGGGAGGGCCACGGTGGTGTTCGCTTCGGCCGGGCCCCGGCCGCGCGGCCTGCTCTCTTCACGAATGGAAGGATGTAGGAATACTAACGGTAAAAGTATGGCTGCTGACCACTCGAGGGGGTTCAAGGACAGCAGCGCGTGGAATCAAGTGGCGGACGGCCACTTCGCGGCCGGGCTCGGGGCTTTCCGAGCTTGCGGCCGTGTCCCCCACTGCCACTTACACGCGTTTGTTTTCACTTGTTAATTAACCCCCACCGCTGTGTGCACGGGACTCGAAATTCTAACACGTCCGCCGCCACGAAAAGCATCGGCGTTTTCTGCGCGCACTTGTTCTTTCCGTGGCAAGGATAAGTTGTTGACTACTAGCGACATTTTTCAGGTGTAATTGTCTGGTTACTTACGGTACTGAATGGCATTCGACGCTAATTACCTGAGAGGTTATAACTACTTTCTTGGCATTCGGAAGATTATCGCAGTTAATGGGTTGACGGTTGTTTCGAGTTACTGCGGTGACTGTTTTTGTTTTGGGAATATTGAAATTATTGAAATTATTGATTCTTTGTGGATTTTGGTTTGATATAGCGGGGGATTTGATGGGTTTGGTGGTCGTTGATTTATTGGGAGACCCTGTGAAGATTCAGTACTTTCAGGTGTTAATTGGAATAAATTTCTTCTGAGGTGAAAAGGTGAAGAGAAGTATCGGCGTGAATGCAGTTGCGAAAGAAATGAGGCGATGAAATCATTGCTGATAATTTAATCGGCTCGATCGGTTTATGTAGTTTCCTGGAAACGCGTCTGCGAATTCGATAAAAATTATCGCTTTTTTATCTCGTTCCAGGGCGCTGTGAGGTGATCAATATTATATATAGAATGGATAACACTGGCGAGGAATATTCGACCGGCGAGTTGTAATGCATGCAATCGACATCGAATGCTCGTTAACGGAACGAAATAAATCTTGAGTCATTCGTTAGCTATCAATCCATGCAGCGTTTAGATCCTACAGATTCAGACTGTCAAATAAATCAGATTCAATTAGAGATTATGCACACTGCAATCGTGTTACTGGTTAGATCGTGGTTATTTCTCACAGGGCACGCTTCACTCGAGAAAGTATCGAACCTTGACTTGACCGTCTCGCGGAGGGGTAATGCGGAACTGCTTCCGCTCTTTTTCCGGTTCCTTGTACGACTCGAAAAATTTGAATTTGTTCGATATGTCCGAGGTCTCGACTTGGACCTCCTCGGTGGTGTCCGAGCTGCGAACCACGTCGTCCGAGACTTGCCGACCCATGAATGCCTTTGTTTGCACAGGTATTACACAGGTTTTACAGGGCGATTAACAATTTACTAGGAAAATAATCCCCCCTTCTAACCTTCGTTCAATGAATTGAATATTAAAGAACACTAATTTTTTAAATTTTTTCAATTTGTGTTTTTAATTCTGTTAATAGAATTTATTTTATAAATCATTTATTCTATAACAGAAGTATTTGAGATAAGAATGTTTGGCATTGGAAGCTGAGATAATTAATTTACTTGATACACAATAACTTTCTTTTGAAATTCTGATACTAGAACTTATTTTATAAATCATTTATTCCATAACAGAAGTATTTAAGATAAAAACGTTTGGCATCGGAAGCTGAGATAACAATTAATTTACTTGACACCAAATAACTTTCTTTTGAAATTCTGTTATTAGAACTTATTTTATAAATCATTTATTCTATAACAGAAGTATCTGAGATAAGAATGTTTGGCATTGGAAGCTGAGATAACAATTAATTTACTTGACACCAAATAACTTTCTTTTGTAATAGTTTTCTGTAGAATATGGTTTAGTAAGTCAATTTATATTATATAATTAAATAACACACCCTGTATGATAATATATATGTTCTATTTAATTTGTAAGAAGAATACTAGATGTGTTTCAGGGTATTAAGATAAAAAAGAAGCAAACACTTACGTCTCTGGCGCGTCGAGGGGTCTCTGAGGGTGTCTTCGGGTTCACGGGGGTCACGGGTCGACCAGTTTTCGCTGCGGAAGCATCCAGTTCCAAGAACAAGGATCTGGACTTCCTGCTGATGCCTGTGTAACAGTGGATCCATTAGTTATACAGACAATATTACAAATGGTGCATGTCCGCGAAATGTATTTCAAGAACTCAAATAAACGTTCTCACATATAGATCGATTAATCTTATAGCTACTTGATACCCTAACACAGCTAAAAAGCAAACAGGAAATGAATGATGATTAGCTTCAAATTCTCTTCCTGTTTATTACATTTAGTCGTCGATTAATCCAGCAATCACGCTCCAAACAATAATCTCTGACGTTAAAATCAATTTAATACCCATTCACAAAAGAAATCCTCAACAAATTCTCCAATATCTCCTATTCTGCTCCACCGTTGAGACAGAAACTGCAAAATCCCAAGGCAGTGCGAGAAACATATTTAAATTTCAGATTATTCTATAAGTGACTGGAGGAAATGAGTTTCCACGTCTAATAGATAGCGGACAGCTAATTTTCTACGCACCTGCGGCGATCACTTCCTCGTCAGCCTTCTCGGGTTTCGGTTTGTTGTCCGTCTCGTCGTCGGATGCGCCGATCAGCTCGCCCCTTTCGAAACGCTCTTTGATGGAGCGCGCGTGGGCGGAGGAATTCTGCAACTCCTCGGCCGGGTTGATCTTCGTCACGCGGTCGCTTCCGGCCACCGCTTGCTGGTACATCTCCTTCATTTTGCCCTGCTTGCCCTGCCACGGAAATCGATCTCCGGTAAGCGTCAACGTTTTCTTGTTCTCCAACGCGAAACAAGTCCAACAAGTTTCTCAATTAACGTGCACTGTTCACCAGTGACCGGTGAACAGGCGCATAGGCTCGAAACGTTTAGTCTTGAAAAAGTAGTAAGTTATTTAAAATCCATTTCTGCCTTTCAGAATCAAAGTTTATATTTGGGACACCAAGTCGCGAACAAACGATTTAATTACTCAAACGGTAAGAGACAACGTAGTTTCCAGTTATCTTATTGTTGAAGCAATCCATATATAATTTAGTACTTTACTTTCCCCACGTGGATGCAATCGATTTATCATATGCCAGTGAATTGCCGCAACTCTGAAGTTGCATTCGCTGGCAATGCGCTGTAATACGGTAATTAAATCCTATTACACGCACTTTTATTCGGTTTTTCCGAGACCCCGACCGTTTAACCGTCGAGCAATGGTTCGCGCGGCCGGCAAAACAAAGTACCATTCGTTCTGAGGCAACGTTTTAACGAATTAAAAGGAGGCAAGCAGCCTTCCTTTAGTAACCCCGGCGAAAAAACAAATTGTTCGCCGCGGCAATCACCGTTTCTCCGCGCGCGCTACATTTTCCTCTACCGTCGAACTTTTTCCGTGTCTGCGTCTAATGGGCACGATGTCATTACCCCGGACTACTTCGCGTCGCGCGAATTCGTCCGCGGGATCGTCCCCAGCCCGCGATCGACGGGCGACTTCCGTTTTTCTTGCGGGGATTCAGAAACAATGAGCAATAAGGCTCTCTTGGCTATCCGGTATGCTATTGTAATTAAGCGGTAGACTGCTTTGGAGTCTTTAATGTTGGTTCTTTGAGAACTGTTAACGCGTTGATTAAACGTTTAGAATGTGTTAAGGTGAAAAGGAAGTCTTCTTTTGGAAAACTTGGTGGTAAGGTGATGGAGGATGAAACTTTGAAAGTCGAAGCTCTGAAAAGTGAAGCTTCAAGAATTGAAACTTTGATCATTGAAACTTTAAAAGTCGGAACGTTGACAGTTGATACGTTAAGAATTGAATATTTTCCAATTGAAATGTTAAGAATTGAAACTTTGATCACTGAAACTTTAAAAGTCGAAACGTTGACAGTTGATACGTTAAGAATTGAACCTTTGCCAATTGAAATTTGAAGAGTTGAAACTTTGACAACTGAAACTTTAAGAATTGAAACATTACAAGTTGAAACGTTGACAATTAATACTTTAAGAATTGAACCTTTGCCAATTGAAGCTTTAAGAGTTGAAACTTAGACAACTGAAACTTTAAGAATTTAAATATTACAAGTTGAAACGTTGACAATTAATACTTTAAGAATTGAACCTTTGCCAATTGAAATTTTAAGAGTTGAAACTTTGACAACTGGAACTTTAAAAATTGAAACATTAAAAGTTGTAACTTTGATAATTAAAGCATTGAAAGTTGAAACTTTGATAAATAAAACATTGAAAATCGTAGCCTCGAAAATGAAAAATTGAAAATTCGAGATTCAAGAGGATAAATCAGGCAGAATGATTTTGCAATGAACTATAAATATTTTTCAGTTTACCATGAACAGCCGCGAACGGATGCCAGCGATCTCCTCTTTCCTGGCTTCGCGCTGCACCTTGCGTCTGCCCTGCTGGCTGGTCGTCTCCCAGCGGTTCTTTATGTCGTCCATTTTCGTGAAACTGATCGGACGCTCGCGGGTCGCTCGTTTCGCCTTCACAATCTCTGTCTCTGTTTCTGCAACGTACATATACAGTTACAGGGAAAATCCTCGCGCGGGGAAAGCTTTCGCCCTCGACAAGCACCCTCGCGCCGCGAGGGGAAAGTTTCGAGTTTCGTTCGACGGGAATATGCTGTAAAAGTTCCCGGAAGCTTTACGCTTGCTTTCATGTCGGGAAACTTTCGGGATCTGATCGAAATTTAGTGTATTTCTTTCTCTCTGCCGGCCGACTGCCGAGCACACGCTTCTGAATATATCTTTCCCGTTGTAATGTTCTTTTCCTTGTGGGCGAGACAAACAAAAACATAAAGAACAAGAAAAAACAAAAATTCCGAAGGCTAATTTAAAAAGAACTCAAGGAACAATGAATCTAGAGTAAGAATACAATAAAATAAACTCAGGAAACCAAGAAGAATCATAATAATACAGTAGCAAATTATTGATCGAAGCGAGGAAACCTCGCAATAATCAAGGTATTAAGTAACAGTTCTAAGAAAAGGAACTCGCAGAGTAAAGAGTATTCATTCCCGAGCAATGTCCAGCGTCCACCTGGAAAGTTAATTACCGCTCCCGTTACGCAACGGGTGTCGTTCATCTCGCTCGTCCCCGTCGGAGTGAAAGGACAACGATTCCGAGGCGAATTAAAATCATTATCCCAACGTCAGCCCTCTCAAACAGCCAGTCAAACTTTTGTCGATGGCCCCTCGAGGTTTTCGCTACTCGTGAATAGGGAGAGGGGGATCGCAGCAAAGGGGAAAAAGAAAATACTTCTTCTCAAGGAAATGCTCGAACAAAATGGAAGACAAAGGGCGAAGAAGGGAGGATGTTTCCGGCGCTATCAGCTGCAGAGGGTATCTTCGCGATTCGTATTAAATGTTCCTCGTTGCTCACCCTCTGTCTCCTCAGCCTCCTCTTCTTCTTCGCTCTCGCTCGACTCCTCGTAAGGGATTCCATTCAAAGACTCGTCCGCTACTCCGATATCCATGCCTTTCGCCTGGAATCTGGACAAAAAGACCAGCAATGTAGACACAAATATCTCCCTTTTGTGATACCTTCAACCCTTACGTTAACCAGCGAAACGCTCGCATTCAACCCCTTGTCTTACAACAAGTGAGACTCGTGAAGATTTTCAACATGATTCGACAAATATATTACTCAGTTCATTCGAATTCAAAATAAACATTATTCCTCTGTAATTATTCTACTTAAAAGGAAATATAGGCATAATATGTGCTTAGACTTTTTCTCTTTTTCTAATAAATTATTAATGACAAAGTATCGATCAGAGTTGAGAAAGAAATAGGCCAAGAGGTTAATCGATGTTTTGTGCCCTTAAAATTGCATGTATTCAAACTCCGAGCTAAATTTTCTGTAGCTTAACAGCTCAATGTTTCAAGAAATTCGTTTGTTTAATCGTCCTTCGCATAGATATCTTATTTTCAAGGTACAGATTCACGTAGAAGTGTTAAATGAATGGAGATCGAGTAGGAGTTCCGTTAAATTGCAAGGGAAAAGTATAAAAATAGTTAGTCGGATTGGTAACGCGAGGATTAATCGTTCCAAGGTGAATCTTTCGGCTGGTGAATCGAAATAATTACGCGAGAACGCTGATCCCACGAATACCGGTCGCGTCTGTCGCAATTCCGAGACATTGTATAGGCGTGTTCTTTTCATTTACTTTTTCTTTGTTCGCCTCGCTTGTTCTGTATTAGCGAGCCTTCGCTTGCACATTTTCGCGTGACACGGCAACTTCGGACACGGTCCCGCGTGCATTGCGAACCGCGGCGCGACGCGACGCGACGCGGCTTTAATGCGTTTCGTTCTACGCCGGAATGCAATTTACGACGACCCAGGCAACGTTATTATGATGTTACGTTCGGCGCGAGGGGTCGGAATTGTCTCGAGCTACTATGGGACGGCACGGGGACGAATTACGCATTAAAACAGAGTGCAGTTTTGTATTCGCGTGTATACGTTACGGAAACATTCGGTGAAAACAGCGTAGACATCGGATCAACGAAAAATTTCTTAGTGAAATTACTGATTTCAAAAAGTGACACGGTTATTCTCACAAAATCCTATTGAGTTGAGTATCTAACAAATCTCTCTCTAACATTTTCCTGTAAGAACTCCAACAGTTCAGCTATTAATCCTTTGCACTCGGAAGTTTCTAGAAATATTTAAAATATTCCGATGACCGGAAACTGACTCAGAAATCACAAGTACATCGAGGAACAAAGCTATTTTACTCCAATATTCCAATATTTCAGATTTTGTAGTTCTCACATGACAAATCTAGCGATGACAGAACCACCTCCCGAGTGTAAAGGGTTAAAACTCCAATTGCTTCGAAATTCAGTTCATCCCTAAATCAATTTCCCCAGTAACCTCTCAGAGAAGCATTTCAGTAATTCTAAAAGAAAAAACCATATCGTCTTGACTCATCCAGAAGTTCCAGCAAACAAATCGAACAAAAGAACTCGTGGCGAGCCATCTTCTCAATTCTGATAAAAGCTACCGAGAATCCGAGTCGCTGAAGTTCCCAGCGTCCGAACGGGAAAGGAACGATCAAGATTCGAGACGTTACCGAGAAAATCGTCGAGGTCTACAGAGTCCTCTTTGTGTCGAGCTCATGGAAACGAATCCGTGTCACGGCTGACACGAGAGAACACCATCCTCGGCCCACTCGGTTCTGTCTTATATAGTCCGGTAACGAGCGGAGAGAGTGCGAGGTGCATCGATCCGATCGCTGGTAGGTACGTGTCATCGTAATCATCCGGCGGGGCGCTACTCACTTGGCCAGCTTGCTGAGGATGCTGGGCGACCTCTTCACGGCTACCTGGGACGGCGACCTCTCGATCTCGTTCGCCTCGGCGCCGGCCTTTTCGAACACCTGGAACCGGGACTTCACGTTCAGGCTGGACAGCTCCTCGAGGCCCAGGTCCGGTTTGTCGGAGGCTGGAACGACAGACCGCAACGTTTTCATTAACGGGTTTAATCACTGGCTTCTCCGAGGCTCTTACGGCCCGGGATGCGAGCCTTCTTCGAAGTTCCTCTAACCCTTTACGAACCGGGCTCTCTCGACGCATTAGGGACGTCTTATATAAAAGGCTAAATTGGATGTCGAATTTTTCAGTACCGGACGATGGAACTTTGAACTGATCCTTTATTGATTACGCAATCAAATTCTTTGCGGCATTAATGAAGATTGATTGGTTGGGGATGGTTATGCAGCGTACGAACATATATGTAATTTATTCTAAATTATTGTTTGTTAACGGACAGGACACCCGGAAACTTCGTAGAAGGCTCATCAGTGTTTAATCAGTGTTGGCGCCGCTCTAATCGCGGCACGGTGTTAGTCGTCGATACGATCTATCCAGCGGATCGCACAAAGATCTCGTTCTCAGCGACGATCTCGTTACACTCATGCGGAGCGTTAATCCGTTTCTGTGGGCACACGGGTCCGAGAATGATTCACACTATGCAGGTTTTCTTCGCTGACATGAATTGCGCAAAGTTGCTGCTCCCAGCGTGAATCACTCTGCCCTGGACGCAAAATGGGTTAGCCTGTTATCAGTGGAATGCGGATTTTATGCGTTCGCAGCGTGCTCGGTCTGTAATTATTTCAATTGGAAAAAAGTCCCCGAAGCTAATTATAACATCTCACTCCAGTTTCCATAAATATGATTTCTCACTCTTGCATCTCTTATTCCGATGTCCATGAATATCATTGCCTAACCCTAATTTCTCTTGGACTCCAATTTCCACGAATGAAACGATCGAATCGGATTTAGTCTAATTACATTAATCCAACGGAACCGATTCGCCCGATCGCACAAGGATCCGCAGTCCCAGTCACCATGCAACAATGAAACTCTGAGTCGCTTCGTTGGCTGCCTTTAAATGCCCGACTGCAGACGGGGTGGCGCAGGGGCGGGGCAGAGACCAAGAAGGATTTCAACGCGCCGTTAGGATCGCGGGCTGCGTGTCAATGGGATTAGAAACTGCACTCGTCAAACTGTTAGGCGGGTTAGACTAGGCCGGCCGACCGTCTCAAACGATCCCGTCTATCCACACTCTCCACACCGTCAGACTTTACCTCTGACCACGTCGGGCGGCAGCTCTTTCGGCTCGTTCTCCCTAATGATCAGCTCCGGCTTTCGAGGTCGCACTACGGAGTTCATAAGACAACTCTTTGTCGCATTAACGATCTCTCTGCATCCGCGTGTAATTACCGAACCGGCTGCCGGTGCACGTCGAGGGGTAGCCGGCGGCACGGGGCAATTTCGAGGCGAGCACGACAAAAGCGCGAACACGCGGGACGGAGCTTATTTCGACCGGACAGGCGATAGAATTTCCTCCGACCGGGAATGAGCTTTGACTATTATCTGGCACGTAACGCTACCGGCAACTGGTTTCGGCTTCAGTTTTCGTGGCAACGAACGAGCCACTCGTCGGTCGACGCGGTTAACCAGTTAATTGTGGAGTCTAGTTCCAGAAATTCGGGTAATAAAATCAATTGATGAGTGTAGCTTTAACAGGGGACGAATGTATCTAATGTATATTAAGATAAGGAATTAGAGTAAACGAAACGAGTTTATTTGAGAATTCTCCAAGAGGATAGCGTTAGTTTAGAATTCAATGGTGTGTACAGTTAACTGGTTAACTATGTAGGACAGTTATACTTGATTACAGATGTAGATTCAATAATAGGTACAATTTGCAAGCGATGCATTTTAGATTCATCTGTATTTCATCGATTCTTCCAATGAACCGATCAGGAAACGAAGCTAGTTCGATCATTTCGATTACCCAACAATGCGTCTTCCAGGTTAATCTGGGTATCTACTGTTTCGAGGATCAGTCTACCAGCTTGAACAGGGATCGAGACGCGATCTTTCGAGTTGAAAGGGAAAAATGTCGATCGTGCGTCCGCGGGTGTACGTTTCACGCGCGGCTGATTCAAAGGCGGGTCGGTGGCGCGGGCGAGCGGAGGAGACAAGAAAGTATGTATCCGCGTCCCATCCCGTCCCGTTCCTGTCGGCGATATCAAAGCGGCCGCGGGAAGATTCGCGGATTAGACCGGAGTGGCTATTTTCAGCGGCGAAGTTCCGCCTACGTGTCGGCGCGGCGTGTGATCGACTTACCGGGCTGCTCGGACTCTTCAACCGGTTTCGGTTGGAAGAGCTCCTTGAAGTGTGGCTTACAGTAAAGCGTGCTCTCGTGGCTCTCGTAATTGTCCACGTTGAGCTGCTTGCTACACTGCACGCACCGGAAGCAATTCTTGTGCCAGACCAGACCCTCCGCCTTTGTCTGTTCCATTTGGAAGACGACCTTGCCGCAGCTGCGGCAGTTCGGGTTCGTGTCGCCATTTTGACCCACCTGTCGTCAGATTTCATTATTCCGCGCGTGAACTCTGTTTCCGTGTTAGCGCAGCGACTTTCGCCGCGGTCCAGCGAGCGAACTTGGGAATCGCGGGACGTGGATTGCGCCTGGTAATTAAACTGCGGGGGTTGGGGTTGCGGCGGGGTTAGGTGGAGTGCAGTGGAAGTTTGAAATTATTAATATTTTTAAAATTGTTAGAGTTATTAGAATTTTTAGAATTTTTAGAGTTATTGGAATTGTTAGAATTATCGAAATTGTTAGAATTATTGGAGTTATTAGAATTATGGGAAGAACTTATTTTTGGATATAAGCGAACAGGATTGTGGTAGGAGTGGAATTCCAGTACGATAAAGGTTTAGAAAGTTTGATCAGGTCCGTATGTTACTTCTGAAGTCAATATCGCCTTTGGCAGAGACCTCGGTCCAATCTTTTTAAATTGGACTTTAATATAGGTATGAGTGCAAGGGAATCCGCAGTCTGATCACAGAAACGAGATTGAATCGACTTCTTTCTATAGCGCATTTTCCTCAGACCTCAAGTTCGCTCGATGGAACTGCATATCTCATCACAATCGTTAACAATCAAGCGGCGGATGTTTACATACAAATCTGTACAAGATGCAACGAGAAATGTAAATGTCTTACAATTTTAATGTATACAATAAATCCGAAAAAATCCTGTCTCTCTGGTTTCCATTTCATTAAACAAGTTACATCTATAAAATTTGAATAACATCTGATTCATCGACGACAGCATTGAAATTAAAAATCGAGAAACAATTCTAATCGATGTAACATCCGAGGTAAACATCCGCAGCGAGTAATCGCTGGAAAAATCGGGATTCGGCATCGATCTCGAGACAAGCGAGGGATGCCTAGAAAAACCACCCCCACAGCTGAGGATCACCCCGAATAAAAATGGAAAAAAAAGGTGTATATCGAGCTCCCTGCTGATCCTCCATGCTTTGTCGCGATGCGAAACTTCGAGGCGAGGAACTCGAAACAGAGAGGCTATTTACACGCTCCCCCCCTGTGGCTGAAGGGTTAAGCGTGCCGATCTTAAAAGTATCTCGTTGGAGAAGAGCGCTTACGGCTGCGTTCAGCTGCTGTTGCACTTTGCCCGCATCGATCGAGCGCACATGCAGTACCGTCTTCTTGCTGAGAGCGTCGAATTTATTGAAGCTCGACTTCTGCGAACACAAACAGTGAATGCGTCAAAACGAAAAGTGAGCCGCGCTGAATGAGCCAGTTTGTTCGTCGTCGGGAAGAGAACTCAGTGGATATTGCATATGTACGGAGATATTCGTGGTGTCTCGTCTAGCCTTGAAGCCTGTTCAGCGTGAGCGTAAAAGCGTGTTCCCTCTCTCGGAGAAAAATGAGACGAGAGAAGGATAAACGAAAAATTGAAGAGAGAATAATTAACGGAAATGATTCGAAACTCGATGACTGCAATAAATGAATGTTCTTCGATTGTTTTCGACTCGATTACGGTGGAGAAGTTTGAAGGGTGCCCACGGTGAACAAAAAGTATGTGGAGTCGGGGAGATCTCGTGCCAGGAATGGGTGCGATCTATTAGGGGCTCTCAAACGGGATCAGGGTGAAAGGTGCTGTCTCAAAGTCAGTCGTAGGTAGATACTAGGGTTTAAACGAAAATTCTGCTCGTTTCCCACTGTTCACACATTCCGCACGCTTTCTGTTACTCGTCAGCTTTACTACGAATGTGCTCGCGTAGACTGGAATTTGTATGTACAAGGTGGTCGTCGGAAAGATATGAGAAATGAAGAGAACCAATGGAGCAAGCTTCGAGAAAAATCTAAATTTCACGATTCACCAATGGGGAAGTCTAAACTATTATTCTCTGTTACGTGTAAAAGTGAATTCTGACATTCCCTCCTTGAAATTCCTGAAAAATGACTGAAGGAACAAAATATTCGTTTGAAAATTACGATGCTCAGCGGAGGGGTGTGAAAGAGGTGGGGGAACGCTACGACTAAGATGTATCCCGTGAATTTGTTATGAATCCGGATGAGAATAAAATGAAAGTATTATTACAAAACGGAAGCAAGAGAAAAGAAATGATAGATGCGAAGGGAGCGAGGCGAAAGCGACCAAGAAAACTCAAGGAGAGATGAAAACCAGCACGAACGACCGTATCGTGGTTATCTCTCTTCCGGGTGCTTACCTCGAACCTCGGCCGATCCGTCTCCTTACCCTCGTTCGTTAAGTTTGCCAAACTACAGTAGGAAGCCCTCTGTCCCGAGGAGGTCGTGAGTGTTTTCGGTTAAGGTTTTCATGCACGGCCAGGAATGGCGGACCGAACAAAAAGAAAGAAACAGCACGGGCTGCGGGTTAGTATCGCGGGTCAATATTATAAGCGGTACACCTTCATTCTCGAGTTCGTGGATGCAGCGGTTGGCGTGACATAATCAATAATTCAATCATGGTACAATTACAATGAAACGAATAAGAAGAAATATTCTAACCAATTATTCGCGAATACGATAAATTACAAAAATTTGAATAATAATCTTCTTTTTCTTGTAACTAAGTTCTGCACTTATTTCTTATGGTAATTATTATTTACCCTTTTACCCTACAAACCATAATTTACTAAAGCGATAAGTACTTAATAATAAATATTCTATATAGTACGATAATCTCGTATTTTTCGTACTCCCCGCACGATAATATAAACTGATCGATAGTGATATTTCTGATCGAATCAGCCCGATCTTTCCAATCTCCATCATCTTGATCGTCATTCGTAGCATCTTAATTATGATCGACAAGAGTTACGGCGCGCGTTGCCAAGTAAGTAAGAAGGCATCGAGTGGCGGCGTTAATCGGGCGCTCGTTATATAAAAATGGCGAACTGGCACCGGCGGAGCCCGTAAATGGCCGCCGGTTTGCCAATCGCCGAGATACGTATCTCGCCAGCCGCTGCATCGCACACGGAGAAGAGAAGAGGACGAAGGAGAAGAACGAGAAGGGGACAACGCTCGGAGACAGCTGGAATCGTTCGAATCGCGTCTCTCTCTGGTTTTTGGCACGGACGTTCGGGCTTGTTCGCCTTTCCTGCTCTCCGCGAACACTCCCGGGCGATCCGCCGGGTTACGTGCTCCGCCGTATCGCTGTCATCGATCGAACATCGATATTCCTCGCGACATGTGCGCGACTTTGTTCGACGAGCAAATTGATTTTAAACAGAACTGTTTCGTTACACGTGTCTCCATATCTGGGCGTTTGATTGTCGTGTTACTCGAATTCGGGTGACAGGAATTCCTTGTGCAGATTTAACGATTAATCTTTAACTATTTTTATTAGAGTCTCTAAATAATAGAATTATTTGTATAACTTATCTCTTCTAAAGAGATCTTCGATTATCAATTACATTGTTTTAGAGACGAGTGAACTAGAACATAAGTAAACTGGCATTTCAATAGAATATAATTAGTACAAGCGCAGAACAATCGGTTTTACTATGAAAAATCTGTCTTCGGCGAGTGCCGTCAACACGCTGAAACGAGGATTTCGCTACGAGCAGAAATTATGTCACCCGAACTCGAAATCCGTAACCGGCTAACCGATAAACGGCGGATACGCGGGCGAAAAATGCCAGAAAAAAGGGGAAAAAGAAAGAGAAAAACAGCCGCGAGACCTCGATTCCGCGGCGCGCGCTGAGTACAAAGTGGGGCAAATGAGTAGCAGTAGGTTATTATCAAAGCCGGCCCTCCCTTAAATGGAGAGACAGCATTCGTGGCGTGACGGCGGCCGACTCGGTCAGCTAAAACCCGCGCGAGAGACACGAACCGGGAGAGTCGAGATCACGTGCACGCAACCGGGGATTCCCGGGAGGATCGATCTTCGACGGAATCCACTACCACGATTTGTTAACACCACGGCGGAAACGGGTTCGACCCTTTCCAGTCCTGTGCCCGAGCAAACTTGACACTTCTTCCCATTAGAATCGCATACTTCGCTAATCCAATTATATCAAAATTCTATCTACCATACGTCAAATTTCAAACTATACTCTTTACTATAAATTCACTGAATCTTCATGGTCTCTAATTTACGTTACTTTAACCCTGTGCGCTCCAAAAGTGTTTCGCTAGAAATACTCAACATCTTCTTATGAGGTATAAATGACACTTAAAGTTAACGAGAAATCAAGGAACATATTTTATTTTAATATTTCACATATTGATGCATTATACAATCATTATGAAATATTAAATATTATTTTGTATCTATTAAATCAAGCCACTGAGAGTGAACATTGGAGGGCAAAAGGTTAATTTTCACGAAACTGCTAATGACTTTTATGTAGAATATTTTTAATTATATGTACATTAGTGTCTTAGATATTTCGTAAGATGACGCTATAGAATTTTTAATAGCGATACCGAATAAGAATTTCCTGGACAAAGTAGTGCGAAAGAAGTTTAGCGTCAGATTGCCGAGGCAAGAAAAATTCTGGTTCAGGTTCTGAATGGACTTGGCTACGCGCAACTCGTCACGCGATTCGAAAGAGAGAGTTTTTTTGTTGTTTTCCCGTGGATTTTATTCGCAAGAAATTCTAGCCGTCTCCGATGTTACCCAACGGGTTCAGAAAGGTACTTACGAGGGCCTTGACCGACACCCCGGCGAAGACGAGCGCGTCTTTGGCGAACTTCGAGTAACCCTTCTCGCATAATCGAAGATCACCCAGCGACCTTGCTTTCTAGGATCGTCGGGAGCGTCAACGGGAACTCAAGATTAGCGGTAAGTTGCGGACAGTAATCGCGGAGCGGCGAGCTTTGCGAGATTCTCTTTGATCGCTGAAGCGGTTTTCAAAGTACCGATAAGCTTTCGCTTCTGATCTTTCTGTAGGAACTTCGTTGAAACAGAATTTTTCATCGATACAGTCTACTTCCGACGTATTTTTCTTCTGATTATTATTAGTACCGGCTATTTACCGATTAATTCCGAAGCCGCAAAGCTCGCGCTCGCGATGGCGATTAGTATGCTGTTACGATGATCACGAGATAAAATTAGATATACGTTTGATTCGGTAAAAACACGGTGGGAATCGCATTGCCGCAGCGGAACGCGAAGCGATTAAGGGGTTGCATACTCCTAGAAACGATAAAAACAGGGTTACATTTAAGAATTCTTGGCACTGGTCAAGCTATGGTCGATGGAGAGATTAGTATCGGAATTGTACGGGTTTGGCAGCGAATTGTCAAATTCCCAAATCCTCATATTTCCAAATTTCCGAAGTTTCAAAGTTCCAGAATATCGAACTTTCGAACTTCCAAACTTTCAAGCATTAAATCTCAAATTTGGAGCTTCGAATTTTCCTCGATAAACTTCCAAAGTCGAATTCCCAAGGAAAATCCATTAACAAGTACTCTACGTTCTTATACTCTCGGAAAACTCAATCATCTTGTGGACGCAAACCCTTAACGGAAGTTCGGAATGGATCATGCAATAAATAAACTGTTAATAGGATCGTCGCACACGTGGACGGTCGGATGCTGAGCGACATGCTTTAGCACGAACACCAATTACGCCCGGGAGATGCTCCCGGTCGAATTGAATCGATTGAACCCGTTTTAATCCGAACAAACACTCGGGAACGGAATGTATCACACGTTTCGCGGCTCGGATCCATTGTGCGCGGATCGTTCCCCGAGATCAGAACGCAGTGCGCGGTTGGCTCGTTAACTCTGGACCGCCAGAGATGCCTTTCTTAAATCCTGAATCATCATTTCGAATTAGCGAGACCGCCCGTCGATCCAGCTTCGTTTTCTTCCGTCTTTCGTTCCGTTAAACCCGTTCCGCGCGTTGAAAACTTACGGATAAAATGACGACGTTAGATCATCGAACATTGACGTCGTTAAGTATTCTACAAAATAGAACTGTTGAAAGTTTCTGTTCACTCTCCTACGAGAAGTTTTAAGACATTGAATTGAAGATATAAATGACTCACACGTTGCTGTAATTTTCAATTGATAATGTAAATTAATCGTGAATGTAGGCAATAAATTAAAGGTAATCTCTGTAGGGATAAGTATTAGGAGAAATTTTATTCTCGCTGAACAACCAGATTGAAATGATTTATCTTTTTATCAACGTGTTCCCTGTATTTCAAATTTTTAGCAAATATTCCTCGGTTGGCTTCGATGCCTACGGTTTCTCAATCTTTGCTCATCGAACGGTGTCACTGTTTTGTGATCCAATTAAAGTCGGTCTCCACTGCATAAATACAAGCTTACGATAATTCTCCCTTCGTCGAACATAATACTGACAGGACGTAAGTGTTCGATGTATGCATAGAATCACTATCTTACGTAAGAATAAAACGATGTGCTAGGGTTTCTCGATCCTCTCGTCGCGTATCGCGAGAGAATCCTCGTTCGACGAGCGTTGACGCTAATTTCGCGACTCGAGAAGTAAAAAGAAAAAAAAATAAAAAACAAAAAGAGAATGAAAGAAAATAAAGAGAATGAAGAGAGAAAATGAAGATGATAACGGAACGAGAAATATCGATACAAACCTCCTCGGTCTCCATCGCGTGATTCGCTTTCCCGTACGCCGTCTGATCGCCGTCGCTCATGCTCGAGATGTCGCCAAAGCTACGACACTGTTAGTGACAACAAAATACAACTGACAAAAGTGTATCGACAGCCATCGAAAAGCGTTTTGTTTGTTCGTTCTTTTGCTGTTCAGCCGCCGCGAACAAGCGTCTTGGAAATAAAAAAAAACTTGAGTAAATAAATCAAAGAGACAATAACGAAGAAAAAAGTGACGTTATAGATCAACGGAAGAAACAGAATTCGTGAACGTGAAGAGAGACAGAGAGAGACAGAGAGAGAGAGAGAGAAAGAGAGAGAGAGAGAGAAAGTGAGAGAGAAAAACAACTGAAATCAAATGTATAGAAAGTTATTAAGAAAGAAACACAGCGTGACGAAAAAAGAATTAAGATCTCGTAACACACAGATACATAATCGATAAAATAAAGTGAGAAGTTCGAACGTGTGCGCAAAAAAAAAATTAGAAGTATCACGAGAAACAACGCGGATCGCAACGAGAATCGGTTTGATACTCACCAGCTGCTTGATCGACACGCCGGTCGCGATCTTTTCCTTGATCGATCGATCCTGCTCGTGGCGAGTCGCCTCCGATACATATGTCTTTGTCTGCATGCACAAAATACAATGCAACAAACCTAGTCACATGCGAATCGCACATACAACGCATTCGTACGGACACACACGCGTACATACACACACGGTGACCCACGAAACAAACTACTGGACAGGTGTTGTCGATCGGTAACGGCCAGGGGGGGCTTTCTACTAAGTCTTGATTACGACGATCGAAAAGAAGTACACCGTGCGAGCCAAGCCGATCCGTTAATTAATTAATCCCGAGTGTCTTTTAGCGCAGCGGTTCTTAACCTATGGGTCAAAATTGGGTCATTTGTTATTTTCAAGTGGCGAACGATTTTCTATTGACCTTTCATTGTATTTAATATGAAATACTTTGGTGGAAGAATATGAAATAATTTGAATACTAGGTTTGTTAATTGATTCAGATATTTGATTAAAGATTTTTCTAGAAAATATGTTCATGTACTTTTATTATATTTGATGAGTATATCTTCAACAAGGTATTAACGAAATTTGAAAATATTGTTCTGATTGTTGTTCTTTAGTGGCGAAACTGAATTTGTTTATCTCTGAGTCGCCGAAGAAAAAGGTTAAGAACCACCGTTTTAACGGATGATTAATCAACTTCCATACGATTCCGAGGTTAGATCGCCGTAGTCCGGCTGATTTATAGATCCAGGGGCGAATCGCTTGGCCCGCAACGAAACGATGCCTCTACGTGCAAAGATACTTACGGGGAGAATTGAGCAAGCACTGGTTCGTATACGCTATCGCGTTCTTTGCGAAATGATACCACGTATGATGAAATTACTTTTGATCCCCTGTTCTAATATATTACACAATTTTGATTTGAAGCTACGGTGAGATTGATGTTTAACGAATTCTGTGATTGTACAATTATCGTATGGAGCGGTTTAAAATAGGGTTTATTGGTTTAGTTTACAGTTGCCGAGGAAAGAAGAGCGAAGAGTGAAAAATGAACTACCAGATATTGCGCTACAACATTTACTTACCAAGTACTTGTTACTGATAAAATACAGACGACATATTACAATTCCCTGTCTTTATCCCTTAAATGCAAGGCTCTTCCCAATCAATTAAACAAATCAATCTCATATTTGGAAACACATCATTCTAACATCTACTATCGCTAAGCACTTCCCACTTCCCTCAACAACTATTGGACTGCATGTCTGTATGCATTTATAGATAATTCGGAAGTATCATCTTCTATAGTAACTCTACTCTTCTAAATTCTATTCTTAAACAGAAACTTAAACATCCACAGTCTAACAATTACGCTAAGCTTCTAAAGCCCTAAACCCTGTTTCCTCCTCACTCCACACTCGAGATTCACTAGATCCCCGAGAAAATCGCGAGAACGCGAAGAAAACCACGAAGGGACTCGCTCGGCTCGTTCGACAATGGTTGCGCAACCCTGTTTTCGTAACTTTTACCGGTGAATTTCGCCGTGTATCGCGTATTCCCGCAGCCGCGCGCGAGAAAACGGCCCGTACCGTCACGGCTCGCGTCGCGAATTCGATCGCGGTCGGTTCGCCGTTCGGTCGCGGACCATTCGCGGCGGAGATCGCGCGGAAATCCCTCCTGCGCCGCGAGTTCTCTTTCGTTCCGCGTTTCGTAACCGCGCGTCACCGTATCAGGAACTTACCAGGGACTTGACGTTCACGTTCGACAGATCGTCCTCGTTCGAGAAATCGAGCGATTCCGGTTGCGCGTGCCGGGAACCGGTGTGCATGCTCGGCTCTCGCAAGTTAGAGTTCTGACAACACAGAGAAACACGTACCACACTGTACATAACATGCAACCAAAATGCCGTCACTGACGCAGGGAGACTCTAAACTCTGGGAGACGCCGAGAGATCCTTCGATAGAATTCCTGTGGCGAACATTAGCGACCCCCGTCGGTGAAATTTTGGAAATTTTAACTGTACAAGGAGATGCGTCGGTGTGCACGTGTTTCGTGAAACTTCGATGGGAAATAATACTCGCGAAATTTCTTGTTGACTACTGTTCGTACTGAAGGGATGAAGATAATTCTTAATATTGTATTAAATAAATCGTGAGAAACGTGGGTGAGAGATATCTGTCGCAATATGCTGGTAACTAAAAGAAAGTAGTAAGTATACACTCTACAAAACTAGATTTCAAGTAATACAATTCAAAAATTGTTATTTTACATTCGTAGTAACCCGAAGAATATAAAAATATAAAAATTCCGGCAGTTTGACAATCGCGAGGAAAACCTCCAGCGAAACCTGCAAAAACTACTTCCCACCAAAGAATCACGAAACCCGATGAACATCGCCGCGCATTTCCTCGTTAGAAGTTCCCAGCTTCCGGAGGCCGAAGCGAAACTTTCCTCTCCGCTTTCAAGCGGTCGAGACTCTTTATTCTGCTCCTCCGATTAGCCCAAACAGTTCTGCTCCCCGCGATGGAAGAATTTCTCCCAGCCGAGCGTCGAGGACCGGATCGCTCGGAAAACCGTTTTCCCCGCAAAGGAAAGGTTCCCAGGCATCGACGGTATCCGGAAGCGATCGCCGCCGAACAGAACGGAAGTCCCGATTTCCTCCTTTGAACGGCTCTAATTCCTCCCGCGCGGAACAATCGGCAAGAGGACACGGGGGAAAAGGGGGGAACAAGATGAGACGCGAGGAAAACCGCGCGCGTCCTGTTCCTCTGCGTCAATTAAAGTGAAAACTGGGTGGAAACTATGACGCGTAGTCGCCGGCGGGCACGCCGGGGCTGAGGATCGAGAAGCGGGGACTTCCGGTTCGGCTCGCGAGACGATCGT